TCGCCGTCGGATCACTTGTGCGTGCTCCGGAGCAGCCCCTCAGCCTGCGCACAAAGGCGAGCCGCCGCTGCATTTGGTGAGCTGGAGGGACTGCTCCGACTCCGGGAGCCTCCCCTCGGCGGAGATGTCCCCTCCTGTCCCGCCAGCGTCTCCCAGTCCAGCTGCGCTCTGCTTTGCCAGGCAGCGCTCCACACAGTGGGCAGCTGCTTCCGCGAAACTCCGTTCAAAATGCTCCACAGAAGGAGGTTCCGAGGGGTTTTATGTTGCCAATTACAGTCTAGTTTGAGGCTTTCCCACTGATTACTCAGGCGGTACAAAATGAATAACTCCTGACAGCGTATTCCCGGTACGCCACTCACAATCCTCCGAGGTGGCTGCTTCATCCTCGCATTAAAACCTTAGCCCAGATGTGTGTGGAAATTGCTTTGACACACGTGGTTTTCTGACAGGGTTTCATAGCAGGCATTTAAGTGCGTTTTTGCATGTCTGTTACAGCGAGCAATAGGAATGCGCGCTGGAAAAGGTATCTACCTACACCTGCTTAATACCTAACACTCTAGTGTAAAAAAAGAGTTAAGTGCCACGTATATTCATTAAATAGGTAATGATACAGTTTAATCCATGAAGTCACTTACATTCACGCATGCGGTTATCAGCATCATGGTGGACAATTTTTGATGTGTCTGGTCCCAAAGTGGCCATCTGGGTATGTACAAGCTGCTTTCACCAGCCTCATTACTTGCAGGTATTACCTAGGCTTTTACAATGCTTTTTAAAGGACATCTGTCTTCAGATTTGCCTTGCCTTGCCACCTCTGTAAGAAAGTATCAGAATGTCAATTTACATTACTAAGAGCATCTATAGTTGATGTAAATAATGTACTTTCCTGGCCATTCTGCCTGTGACAATGTCAGGGGCAATCGGGGAAGCTTATTTTTGCAGATGTCACTATTACATTGGGGTCCCAGGGAAATGGATTTGACTTCATTTTGCAGAACATGATGGTTCCTGAAATAGTTTTTTATCTCCTGTATCAATTGTCTCACCACTAGCAACCTCTTCCTATTTTGAAATGGGAGCTCTTCAAGACGCAGGCTTTATTTTAAATAGAGATATTACAAGCCTCATTCCCTTGCTGACCCCATGCCACTTTGAAAATAAAAACTGCAAATAACCAGTCGAAAGCCTCTTTCTTTCAACAAGTAGCTTTATTCTTCTCTGCTCCAGTGACTGGCTGTAGCACGCAACTACTTGCTCTGTAGGTGGTGGGGTCATGTGCATGATGTTAAAACTGCAGTCACTAGGGATTAATTCATGGTATGACATCACCAACAGCCAATCAGGTGACTGTTTGGGAGACACATTGACCAAAACTGTATTCCAATACTGATTTAGTGTCTCTGCATGGCTTTGGAAGAAGAGGGCAAATATTGACAGAAAGACCATTCAAACTTTTTAAGAATCAGTCCGTTCTCTCCTTTCCACTGGTCCACCCCCAAATGTTGAAAAAATATCCACTTTGCAATGATTTCAGTGCCTGCTTAAGGGAGGGGTTGAGTGTTGATACCTTAGTTGTCAATAAACCAGACATTGGTACAGCATTGCTGC